TGTGTGTCTGTGTAATCCATCCTTGTCCTATGCCTCTCTTACTGAAAATGAAACCTTTCGTAATTTGTCTGGCATAGGTTAATGTAGTAGAGTAGCATTGTATGGCTATGATTGATTGTTCTTGATTTGATCGGTGTGTGCTGTGTCCAGTACAGCACTGGAAGGACACAATCATTGATGATCCTTTATAGCCTAAAGGCCTGATCCAGCTTGCACGCCCACAAGCAGAGATTGTGTGTTCACCCCCTTTGGGGCTACGTTTCAAGCTCTCCTCCCAGTAGCAAGTGTGGCCAGGATCAGGCTCTGGGTAAACAAACACTTGTATACCAAGGGCTCAGTGGGTGGATGTAACCTAGGGAAGCACATTGTGCCTGAGAGGGTGGTTAGGGCTTTGGGCTGGAATTGTCAAAAGCAGCTAAATCACTGAAGATCTCCAGTCCCAAAAAAGTAAGTGGGTCTTGTGCTCCTTGGTCACACACAGCTTTCTGATAATCCCACCTGTTCCAATTTAGGAGTTTGATTCAAGATACATTGAATCTTTCCATAGACTTTGAAGCACATTGGAGTGCACCTTTAGGGCAGAGCCTAACATATAACATTTAACTTAATTATTGTTTATACATGGCATCCATGCGTATTTGTAGTGTAGCTTAAACTGCACACCAGGGAAGGCATTGCAAGATGACAGTCATTATGTCCTCACCCCATTTCCTGAAATGGAAATTGTCCAGCTCTTTGTCTAGTGCTATAGCTGGTTCCTTGACATACACCATTGTGCTTGTGTAATCTTGTGGTTTGAAAGGTCATACATTGCCCTTGACTTCGGCACAAAACCCATTTTTGATGGAAGAAACGGAATCTGCTTTTAAGTGCCCCTTAAAGATTGACATGGAAAGCAAGTGTGGCTTGAGTGTTCAATGATCTCACTATTAAGCCTGTCTTCCTGAGGCATGAATGAAGGCTTCTTCAAGTGAGTCAGTTTGGCTGCCAAGCTTGTTAAAATGTCCATAATGTAACTTCCAGGTGGTTTGAATTCTAATTGTTGCTCTCTGAAGAGAAGTGTGTGTGTGTGTGTGTGGGATATATATATATTCACTTTAAAGCAACTGTAAATTATATATATAATCCCACACACATTATATCTTTATCTCTCTATCAATAGATCTATAGATATAATGTGGGTGGGATACATAATGTGTGTGTCTATAATTTTTTACAGTTGCTTTAAAGTGAATTTATTATTCCTTTATTGCACCATTGTAGCCCTGGAAACCAACTATTATGTGAGCTTCCCTTCTCATGATCTCTACCTGTGAAAGAATAGGCTATGACCCTCTCCATTTTTTGGAAGAGCAATTCATCGATGGCTAGTTGCATATATAAACTATGATCCTCATCCTGCTGTATAAACTACCATGAGGTGGATTGATGAGTTATGTCTTGTTTCCAGGCCAGCTGCCTAATAAATGAAGGATCAGGAAGATGAAATACTCATTAAGAGAGCTGCACTAGAGCATTCAGGGTGGTAAAATTTCTGATGTTAAAAAGTGTGTGTCTAAAGATGGACGCCTAAGACAGGGTTAGGGGAGACAAATATAGCTTTTAACTATTTAAAAAAGGGAGGGGAAGTTGACATGTGGGGGCCTACATGAGCTGTTATGGTTTAGCTATCCTGTAGTGATACAAATTAGCTAAACTCTTTTAACGTCAACAGTTAATTTGCAACTGTTTTGCTACCCTTGCATTCCCAAATATAATAGTTGCATTTTAACAGGTTGTGTTGATACACCTGTTACATCTATCCGTGCCCTCCTGCT